GTGAGAGAGAGAGAGAGAGAGAGAGAGAGGGGGGGAGGGAGGGAGGGAGAGAATGCGTGAGATGACTGGGACCTTGGAGAGCGAGCCACTGATGGTCAGAATACTGTAAATATTAATGAGATTGAGACCCATAGTCATGAGTTTGAGACCCATAGTTTGAGACCCATGACATTGGCAGCTTCATTGAATCCCATGTCAAATTAGCTATGAATTTAGTGAATAGTAGTGAAACTTGTCATAAGAGCTGTGCTTTTTTTAACCTAATGATACAAAGATTATTGCCATCATAGTATAAATCACCAGACTAAAAAGATAAAAGCATGAGAAGCAAGACCAGCAAGAAGATCCTTGGAAGTTGGCACTGAGATTTTGAAAATCTTAAATGCTTTTCATTTCAGTTTCAAAAGGAATGTAGTCTTGTCTCTGTTATTTCTGTATTATGTAGATCGAAATTTTTCTTTTAATTCCTGGTTATGCCAACATATCACAGAAATTGAATTGTGGCTCATTTCTAAGAATTTTGTAATCATTTTTTAATATTTTTTAAGTGCTTTAGTATCCAGAGTACAGACCGAATCACTTTGGTTGTTAAAAGAATAGTAAAAATAGCAAAGAGTTTTCACTTTTAGAAGTCTGTATGACAGTATCTGGTTTGTAGGAGTACTATCATATTTTTCTTCCTTGTTGGATTTCTTCATTAGTATTCTACACAATGGATTTCTTTCACAGAAAGCATACAGAAAACATGGAGAAAGAATAATAGATATTATCCCCATCCAGAGGTACAGAAAAGTAGTTAATACAGTTCTGTGCTGGGGGGAGGGCTTCTCCCCTTCACAGCCGTGTTCCAAAATACAGCAGGAAATAAGTTAAAAGTGATAGAAAATGTTTCTCTATTAGTGGCAGCAAATTCAGAAAAGCAATGGGGAAAAACAATTTCATAGGGGCATATACATTTTTTAGAGTTTTGTTTTCTTTTTTTGTGATTTTTTTGTGAAAAGCATCTGACACCATCTGAAGAAAAGGCTGGCAGCTGAAGGATGGTTTGTCTTTCAGATTACTTTTTCAGCCCATGTCTCCTTCTGACTTTATAAGAGTCCCTGTAGATTTTACTCTGAAAATAGAGATTTCATTATCTTACGCACAGAGATGGGACTAGATCTTGAGTGTCTAAGTTCAGGTATTCTGTGACACTAAATCTGAGTGTAAAAGCAACAGTTAACTCATACAGAGTTTGTGTTCCACAATACTTTCAATAGCATAAAATGATATATGGCTTTTTAGTATCAGACAGAACTGATGGTGGAAGCTTCAATACAGCAGTTATCTGGGGAAACTAACAGCTCTGGACAGAGTCATACTTTCCTTAAAGAATCAGATCCATATTATAGAGGATCTGACATTGCTCTTGGAATCTCAGGTAGCAGCCGAGGCTCAGACTGCCTTTTGTTGGTTTCATCTAACTTACCAACAGAAAAAAAATATATCTCAGCCCTGTCAGGTGTTTTGCAGTTCTTCGATAGTGCCGATGCGATCTGTGTTGCGCAGCTTTTGAAGACACTTGTTCTAGTGCACAGTGTGCCCCCTTGACTGTTTACAGGCATACAGATGCCACCTCTTCTGAGCCATCTGCCTGGGGGAATGTCTAGACCAGCTGCCAAACTGTCTGATGAATTCAATATTCTGATGTCCTGATGCCCTTTATTTTTATTTTTATTATCCACTTTCCAAGAATGCCAAAGTGGCTATTTAACATGTAAAGCTTTAAACAGTCTGTATGGCAGTTGTCTTAAATGCACCTGGCATTTAAAATCAATCACGATGCCTAGCTAAAATGCCATTTTATTGGGAGGGCAAGGTGACCCCACACATAGTGTGTAGAGACCATTCCATGTTAGAGAAGCAGAATCGTTGTGAAGGCTTGTGATCTTGTCGTCTGTGCTGATATCTTCTTGAAGTACCCCCACTTTGTTATTTATTTGTACTCTTTGATTGTCCACTCTTGATTATATGGTGATTATTCTAGTTTTTGTCTCTGAACAACATTTTAAAGATGCCATGTAGATTGCTAGCCATAGACAGCTAGAAGAAGAAAGGAATCTATATGATCCCACCTTTTGCAAAGCATGGGCTGAAATCCTATTACTGACAGTTCAAAAACAATTGGCATAAATCTTACTGGTGAATTGCCTCAGGTTGGTAAGTTAGCATAGACATCATCTGTTGCACACACACATTGCATGACTGAGTGTGCAACAGGAAATGCCTACGCTAAGAACTCCTGCCAATTTGCCAACAACATATACATCAACTGCATTACACCAACATAAAAACTCAGTAAGATTTTAGACATTTTTTAATTTTCTGTATTCACCTTTTCATTATGGGAAGATATTGTGATGGTGCTTCAAACAGATTTTTTGCTAGAGCAGTAGTCAGTTCGCAGTAGACCTCCTTATTCCAGCTCTAATATAACCCACTGCAGTTTCTGGCATGCAGTATGTTCATGACTAAGGCTACATTGAGGGAAAAAATGCAGGAAATGCTATGGGATTGGGATTGGTCTGATATGAGCTGCCCCCTCTCCCCCTTCCATGATGGTGAGCCTCTGCAGAATAAGGAGGTTTATTGACACAGACGAATGGAGATAATAATTTGTGGCAAAAGTCTTTTACACAATCAGGTCCAGCTTTACCCTGAACAGAAATAGGCCTTGGCAAACCCAGGCCCTGACCGACAGTGGGTATGTAGCCCTTTGCAGACCCAGGACCTCCCAGACTGCTAACTGAAAAGTCCTTAGTAGGACCAGGTCTTTCCAAACTGGGCACAACACAATTCTTGTGAGACCCAGGCTCTGCTCAGCAGGGGACGGAGGAAGTCCTTCTGGACTCAAGCCCCTCTGAGAAAGTAGTAGACAAGTCCACAACTAGGTCCAGCTCCTGTGATGAGGCACATACCCTAATCCAACCGGTCAACACAGGGAGTCACTTCACTCCCAAATTTAGTAAGTCCAGCTTGTTCAGAATGCCGCTGAGGGAAAATCACCAGGGGCTTTACAGGCAGGAGGCACACTGCCTTTCTGAATGCACACCCCATAGTCCTTGGATTCTGACAGGAGAAACATTTGTACACACACACACACCCCATCCTGGGTGGCACGACTGGAGGCCAGGCAGAAACTGCTTCGGGAGATGACTAGGCCCAGGGCATGGAGGCAGAGATCAGGCTGGGTGTGGTAGCTGGAGAACCAGGGCTCACGATGGGAGGGCAGTGGACGGAACGCTTGCCTGTTTTGTCCCCAGCAGGACCCAATGTCTCTCTAGCTTTCCAGATGCCTCGGCTCTGGGAACCTTGCCCTGTCTTATCTCATTTGTAACGCACCCAGAGTAGTGCTGTGACACTAATGGGAATGGAATACAAATTAAATAAATATAAATAAATCTTACCCTGGTAAATTCTTCAGGCATTATTGCCAGCCCTCTTCATGACAGCTCAGCATGTACTTCTCCTCCCTCGAGCTCATCCCAGTTTTTCACATCTTGCCAGTGGTCCTCTGAGTCTTCTAGTCTGCCTTTTGTCCCCAGCCCAGCCATCTCCACAGCTGCACCTGTGAAGGTGGCAGCATTGTTCCCAGCCTGGACCCAGGTGCAGTGCACAGATGAAGTGCATCTACAGCACCCAACAAGGTGGTCTGCCCACTATGCCAGCCAGCCACAGCCAGGCAGACTCACACCTGATTCAAAAAAAATTTCATTGGCCACATGACATAAAAGCAAATGTGGATGAGCCCAGAGTCCCCCCTTCAACTCAGTAGTTTCACCTTCCTCTACTGAGGCTTTTATTTTTTCCACAGCATATCTATTTGCATCATTTCAGATGAACTGATACAGAAAAGTATAGTATGTGCCGTGGTTGCCATGATGGCATGGTGGGTGGGGTGCTAGAGAATTTACCAATTATTTGCAAATCATTCTTTTAACCAGCTTGGTGCCAGTGCTGTTATGCTAGGGCAGCTAGGAAGGAAGGAAATTGCCACTTGGCTCTTGTTTACAGCTTATTCAGGTAGTTTTCTTGTAACCATGCCTTGTGCAGGACTTCAGAAAAGCTAAGTAAACAAGCTGCAAACAAGGCTGTTTAGGCAATTTTCTCCAACCATTTAACAGGAACAGACCCAGGGAACCCTGACTTCCCCAGTGCAACTTCATGACAAGTGAATTCACATTCCTCTTACGGTGTACTTGCATTCTAAGACTTTGAAACGTATGACTGAAAAGGCTTTTGACTGTTTGATTGCAAACAATCAGGAGAGGCTTTTGGCAATCTCCTAATTGTGGCAGTTTCTGGTAAATGAAGAAACCATGTGGATTATTTTCTTGTCTAGTGTATAATGGGCATACTAAGGAATCTATATCTATATCCAGCACTTTCTTAGTTATGTGATATGTCATTCAATTACAGTGGGGTCTTGACTTAAGAACGGCTCGAGTTAAGAACATTTTGACTTAAGAACCGCTCTCATAGGAAAATATTGACTTGACTTAAGTACTTAGATTTGAGTTAAGAACTGCAAAAAAAACCATGTGGGAGGCAGGGAAAGTGCAAAATTTGAACTTTCAGTTAACTGTTGGCCAGTGAAAAGGGTGCCTGTCTGCTTCCTCGCTCCTCCCAGCGTTTAGAGAGTGGATTGGGAGACAGTCTTCGGACTGCCTGGTACTACCTGGACTGTATTTTCCCTGCCTTCCCTGAACCTTTCTTGACCTAAGAAAAAAAGAAACAAAATATCCCCCTCTAGTGGTCGAAGGTGGAATAGCAGCTTCCCATTAGTTTCTATGGACGGAAAAGAGCAGATACGGATCAAATGGTTTTCAATGCATTCCTATGGGAAATACAGATTTGACTTGAGAACTTTTTAACTTGAGAACCGCCTTCCAATACGGATTAAGTTCTCAAGTCAAGACCCTACTGTATATGTGGAACTTTCATTGTGAGGAAGATATATTTTCAGAAGTGGCTGTAATAGTGCAGAGATAGCTTATCAGCCAAAGGAAGTCCATTCCTTAGCCAGAGACTTTCACTGAAAGATTGTAACAAACACATGCTGCCTGAATGCTTTGCCTCCAGCTTTGACATGCATTATGCCTGACATTTAAGTTTTTGTTTTTAATCTTTGTTTACCATTTTCAGCCCATCAGGTCTCTCAGCATGATGCCCATATCAGAGCAGCATCTTATTCTTCTGCAGTTAGGCACACACCTTCACACATTGGCTCCAGAATGCTGTAAAGAAAATTGTGGCAGAGTTAATGCTCGATCTATTTTCTCTATTATTGCCTGCAGCTTAACTTTGCTGGGAGCTATTTTTTCCTCAACAAGCTCCCAGCACCTCTGTGAAAATAAAACAGCCATTTCTTACATGCTTTTGGTCACACAGTTTTTGATATAATGATTCTATTATCAGGCAGGTTGCCCTTCAGTACCAGGTGCTCTTGCAACACTGAAATTGTAATTTGCATCGTAGTCATCCCTGCCTCTCCTCTCAGTCCATGCATCACAAGGCCATTGTAATGCTTTCATTCCTTGTAGCAGAAAGGTCGGTGGCAAACAATCAGTCATTTTGATCAAACATCATTTCAAAAGATTAAAGCAAAAATGTTATATTTTTGGCCCTATATACTTAGATTTTCAAGTAAAAAAATACTATTAATTTTTAAAGCTCAGAACACTGGATACCATTGTCTCAGTTTCGGGGGCTGGCCGCTAAAAAGCAGAAAGATATTGCTTCTGAGTTGTGGTGTGCTGTTTTTTCAAAGCCTTTCCTGGTCCTTGGCTCGGTCCTTAACAGGGGGCCCTAAATCAGGAAATCGTGCCAGTTCATCAGCCACCTTGATCTCAGGTTGAGACGATGGGTGACAGTCCTGCAATAGAGGACACGATCATGCAGAAATTTGTCCCAGAGTTCGATATGGAACTTCTCTATACTGCACCCTGGCATGTAAAGCATTGCCACAGTTTACGCAGAAATGCTCTGTCCTCCTGGGAAAGGTGGGTTTCAAGTGTCCACACATCTGACGGCCTTCCTTCTGCCTCACCCTTCTCTACCTTTGTAACTACCCTCTTACCCATCCCTTTGGCCATCATCCAAATCCCTTCCTTTCTTTTTTGTTCAGCAAGTGAAATAACGCTGAATTGACAAAATATGGAAACATTTGAATTAGTGCTGTGTCAATTTAGTGCTAGAACACCAAGTTAAACTAAGGTATGAGAAAAATATAATTCGCATATTGCATTGCAATTTGTAATCCTTATTGGTGTGAGCGGAAGGCAGATTAAAAAGGGAGGTTTCATTCCTGCACCAAACTCCACTCTGTGCATCATTAGTGATGTCATCTGGACACACCCAACAGTGCCTCTAAAGGACCAATATAGGTGTCTCACACAAGCCAAAAGCAAAATAATTGGCAATTGAAGACTTCCTCTTCCCATCCTGTGGCTTCTATAGCTTCCCCACGATGAAAAGGATTGCACAGGAGCCGTGGGAAATGTGGGACAGAGGTACACATGTTAATTTCTGGAAATCCCCTTGCTGATGATAGCAGCAGCCTTCCATATGAATAGCTGCACTGACAGGATTTCAGCCACTCTGTTATAAAGCAAAGTGTGCTGCTTATCGCAAATTGTGAAAAGCAGATAAAACACTTGTGTGTTGGTTTAAGGAGTGAAATAGCATTCAAATTTCTGCTGGATTAAAATGCTACAAAAATATGAATACTGGCAATGAAAGCTCATTAAATTAGTCATCCAAAAATCTATTGCTTTCATGTATAAATGATCTGCTTATTCCAATGAAAATGTACTTATTAAATATATTTATTTTTAAGTGGATAGTTTGAATGGTTATTCAGCATTTCTGTGAAATGCTTTAATTTATGCTGCAGACCTTTTACAAGCACAATTATTGATTTTTCTTATTCAGATTAATATCTGCATTCCCCCACCATTTTTATTTTAAATTCTCTGGCTAAATGATGATGCAGAAACTATACAATAGTGGATAGGCATGGACAGTACTGGGCCAAAATTCTACATTACCGTACCTGGGGAAGAAAATCCAGATGTTGCCCCTCCATAGTAAAAAATGACTGTACATGTTCAGTTGTAATTGGGTGATTCACTGGTCACTTGTAAAAATTTAATGCATATTCATAATTTAATATTATACACAACTAATTAATTATACCAGTGTATAAGTGGATTTTTAGGTTAAAATGAGAAACTGGAAACTTGGAAAACCAGTTTCCTTTTGAGGCTCCAGAAAAATATAATGCAGGAGTCAAACTCTGCTACCACTGCTGACTGTCAACTAAGACGACACAGTTGCACAGTGGCTACCGAGGAGCAGATGCATGTGCCCCTGGATTCTGCCTTGGGAATTTTTGGAGAATTCTTGGGTTTACCTTTCAAAAACATGAAAGAGCACATCATTGTTAACTACAATCAATTTCTAACCTGGCAAGAGCTCAGAGCAATGGGATAAAAGATACTCCACCAGATTAAAAATTAGAACTCTAGCTGCTTTTTTAAAGAAAGTATGATCTTCAATGAATCCTAGGTTATACTGTATGTGATTACGTGGAATCAGGGTGTATAAAAAGCAATCATTTTTTAAATCAAATTGATTTAAATCATCCAATCATTTTTATTTAAATTGTTAAAAAAAAACTTTTAAATTTAAATCCACCTTGCTTGGAATAAATAATAATCATGTGTCACCAAGTCAATTCTGACTTATGGCAACGTTTTCAGAGTTTTCCAGGTAGAGAGTACTCAGAAGTGGTTTACCATTCCTTCTTCTGAAGATACTCTGGGACTCTGCAGCTTGCCCAAGATCACACAGGCTGGCTCTTCTCCCAGGAGATACAGTCAGGAATGAAACTCCCAACCTCTGGCTCGTTCCTTTTATTCCCAAAAAAATGAACATTGGATAATAGCCAAGCAGTCTGATCCTTTGCAAAATTATCCAGCAAAATAACACAGATTATATTCATGTGCATGTGGACAGCATTGCAGCTGTCACTAGAAGTTCTGCAATAATTCAGAATGAAATCATGTAATAGAATTTGGTAATGGCCAAAATCCTGTTGTTCAGTGTAGTAAGTCACACTAGACTAGGCATACTGAATCAGTGAGGATTTGGTGAGTCAACTCTGCTGTAAGTGCCATTGATTCAAAAGAGGCCTATTCTAGTTACGACTTACTATGCTAAATTAATTTACAGCCAGAGTTGGCCCATTTGAATCAATAGAATTGACAAAGGGGTTTATTCCGTGGGCCTACGCTAGAGCAATTACTACACTTAGCAACAGGATTTCAATCAGTAGATACCATATGTTTTTTTATAAAATGGGACCAAAGCCATCACTGGATATGTCTTCAGAAGCATTACTAACCTTTACTCTCTCTTGCACATACACAGGGTCTTTTGGGAGAAAAATATGGAAGTATACGAGTTCCAGGAGAAGTGGAGTCATCAGAATTTGAAATGATCCTGGATGCTGCCGTTGAGGCAAAACTAGAAACAAGGATTTTGGAAGAGTGGTATTGCAGAGATGAAAACGCAGTTCCACCAACTTATTACCTCAAACCAAAATCTGAAATGCTGAAGAACAGTCCCAGTACGGTAAATCTTCATACGATGCACTGTATACAAATCACTATAGACTTAACTAGATTTCACAGTCATTGTCTTCTGAAAGCTGGAAGCCTGACAAGCAGGCTACAGAATTTAAACAGAGAAATCTTAGCAATTCATTGTAATTTTTAGGATTCCTTTTGAACACAGTTTGCTTATATTTAGGACATATTTAGGACACATTTTATTTTGGTTTGTATAGATGTAGATATATTGAAGCACATAGCCATGCTGCTATTCTACCCTGATTTCTCCAGCCTATTTTCATACGATTACACCCTTATTTTCTTATTTCCCCTCCGTTGCTGCTTCTGTTAATCTGGCAAGGAGCTGTGCAAAACCCCCAGTTTCATAACCTCTAAATAAAAAGTTCAAACCCTGCACTGGTTTGTAGAGATAAGGAGACATTCATATCTAGAGGCTGTTGAGCTAAATAATTTGTTGATTGCAATCCAGCTCTAAGCTGGCAGGAATCCCTAACACACATCGAAAGTTACACATCATCCAGATTGGCATTCTTCCTAGTACACTAAAACAGCCAATAACTTATCAGAATTATCCTGTTACTCCACTACAAAATTCAGAGCACATTAGTATATGATTTTAAACCAAAGCCACTCAAAATTCCTTTTGCAGAGCTGCAGTCAATGTAAACCAGTAGGTACAAATAGTGATTTTCATACACTTTTGAACTGTCCAAGCTGAAACATCTTTTCACTGTGGATTATTATTCATGCAAGAGTTGCTGTTTTGAAACAGGGCCTACTGAATCAATCAGTTGGACATATAAATATAAGTTGCATTTGATCTAAGGAGGTCAAGGTCTAAAGCTCAGTACTGGCATATTATTGTAAGCAATTAGCATCTCCTGCCAACAGAATGGCTTCTGCCAGTGGAATTGGATAGGAGCAATTCCACCTCTGCTTCCCGTAACTCCCTATTGTCCCCAAATCTCATTGGGAGACCTGGGAAATTCTTTGGATGATATTTGAAGATGTAGGGGCTGTAAAGGAGTGGGGGGAGAGAAGGCAAACCACATGCCACTTCACTTTGCCCTGTATCAAAACATTATATTTCTCTCGTAAGTACTGACTAATTTTCAGAAACTGAAGAGCAGTTGTGATTGATTTTTAACTTACTATAGGTCTATGCCAAATTGTGGGCTAGAAACTTTGACTAAATAATACTCAACGTACTGCAGACACAGAAACAGAAACTCAAAGCATTTTTAAATGAGAGGGACTTAGGCACATGCTTAACTATCTGCATTTAATTCAAGTTATTTTTATAACACGTGGCATGTTTCTTCTCCCTGATTATATGCCTGGCTGACATGGGGAAATCATTTGACTTTTCAACTCTTGACACTGGTCTCCACAAAGAGCAGAATGAAGTGATAGAAAAGGCACACAAAGATAGATTACACAGGAGAATTCAGTTTTATTTCTGCTCTACACATCAAAAATTTTTGAACTAGAAGAGCCCAATATATGGCAAGGGGCTGAACCAGCACCCCCTCTCCAGCTAGATTTTTTGTTTTGAGATAGTTTTTAATGTGAGGAAGGGTTTGGAATGTTTTTTTCCCCACGCTGGTGCAGTCATTATTTCATCCATCCTCCATGATATATTCTTTCATCTACAGAGAGTGCTTGTAGCGCTATGGGGCGGTATATAAGTCCAATAAATAAATAAATAAATAAAATATAAATACAGTCTGTTCTGTATTTTGAACATGTGTTATACATTCTGTGACCTAACTGTCATGATTGATGCCCCCCCCATCTCTCACAGATACTCCTCGCATAAGGGAAGTGTGTGGATATTGGTAATAGCTGGGAACAACACTAATGAACAGTTTGTTTTTATTGTTCTTATTTTAAAGATGGAAGCCTCTTCAAACCCTGGCAGTGAGAGCAAGTGGCGGGAGGTAGCAGAAGAAATTAAGAAGATTTTTAAAATAGCAGTGAAGATGCTATACGAAAAGGGGAAAATGAAACACAGTCAAACGAAGAGATACCTTTCCTCTGGTAAACGTTAAATGCAGGCACATAGTACACACTTAAATATATACTGATAATCAACTATAGCATATTTCATCAGTAGCAAAGTATATATGGAAAGGGAAACATATTCTTTTCTTTTATTTGCTGATTAATCATACATAATAATTAATCTCTTCTAACATAATTCCTAGATTCCAGTTGTTGCTAGTCTTCCTGGGGGACTAACAGATAGGGAAGGCAATGCTAACAGCATTGCTTTGTCTTGTGAGAAAGCTAACAGCATTAAAATATGGGGACAGGGTTGAAAAAAGTCTTGTGTGATCTCTTGCAGATTTGAGATTCACCAGGGCACATTTTCACTTGGTTTTGTAAAAAACTCTAGACTTCCTCTTTCCCCTCCTCTCCTAGCTATCGAAGATGAATTTGATTTTGCCTTAGGAAAACAAACCCCAGCTTTCCTAAAGAAGTGTGTTTGCTACATTCGGAAGATTGCAAACATAGAACGCTTTGTTAAAGATCCAGAGATGGAGAAATATATGGATGTACTTCATACGAGTGGAAAGTTTATGCGGGACCCAGAAGCACTTGAGAAACTCATCAAACTCAGGGATGAATTTGTTCCTACCATTGTTGCTTCATCGAATTTGAGAGTCTACACTTCAGTTACCCATTGTGACATGAAATATGGTTATACCCAAGAAGTGGAGAATCACTACATCGAAGGGCTTGGCAAACAGTTTTATGAAGACATGGTTGATATTATTCAAGCAACCGTGCAACAGAATTTTGAGATAGAGACAGACTGGCTCTATGATGAAGTCCTTCAACATTCCTCACTATGTAGAACCTACTCTTCATTCTATGAGTACAAATGTGATGCTAAGAATATTATGCACAAATACCTTCTGCCTAGGAAAATGGGCCACATTAACCCTCTTATCATCTATGGAGGACCATGCACTGGAAAAACTTTTTTATTAGCAGAAGTGGCAAAGAAGGTAAACCACACACACCTATGTCTATTTGTTCTGCTCTTATCAATTTTAAAGATAATGTATATACCATTTTTCTATTTTAATTGAAGCATTTCTACAAACTATATTTTATAGCAAAATATAATTATAGATCTTCCTAAATATTCTCAGCTTTTGGCCCCATTTTTTAGAACAAATTGGTGCAAATAAGTTTTATTTATTTTCACTTTTATACCACCCCATTAGGGCTGTCACCATCTACAATAAAATCATGGACCTAAACTTTATATAATAAATAAATAAATAAGTACAGTAAATACAATAAATCCTGTCGCTAGCTACAAAATCTTTAAATAAAAATACACAAATTAAAACCTGTTTGAACATCTCAGGACATTTTGCACTAGTATAAAGCAGGTGTATATAATTCAATCTCAATTAGCTTTGAAAAACAGAGAGGTATGGTGTACCTGTGTAGGAAGTTTGTTCCAGAGGGAAGGAGCCATGACCAAGAAAGCTTGGTTTCTCATGTTGGCTTTTTTGGCCTTTGGAACAACTTGCCAGTGGAGATCCGCCTGGCTCCCTCTCTGGGTTTCTTCAGGAATAAACTTAAAACCTGGCTATTCAAGCAGTCTTTCCCTCCTGCCATTTTTAATTATTGAAACTTCACCATCTTGGACTTTTTGGTTTTTTGGTTTTACTCTTTTTAAATTTATAAACCGGCCAGAGTAGACTCTTGGTCTAGATGGGCGTGATAAAAATCTACTAACTAACTAACTAACTAACTAACTAACTAACTAACTAACTAAATAAATAAATAAATAAATAAATAAATAAATAAATAAATAAATAAATAAATAAAGTGTTACAGTTCTTAACATCAAGGACAGCGAGGCGCATACGGGATAGGTACCTATTTTGTGAGAGAGACACTCCACCAGATATCCAGGTCCTAAACCAGGCTTGTCCAGCCCGCGGGCCACATGCGGTCCAGGTCACCCCAGTGCAATTTTTTATTTTAAAAGAAATTCCAAAGTTTCAAGTTACACTGCCGGCGCTGGCGGCCGGAATGCGGCCAGGGCACGTCACAATGGGAGGGGGGAAGAGAGGGAAGGAAGGAAGGAGCGGGAGGGGAGGGGAGAGGGGGGCTCCATGACTGCATTGCGCCATCCCCGTCAATAGGTGGACCCCCTCCCAACCCCATAAAGCCACTGGCGTCAAAGCTGGCAGCCTCTGCTGTCTGAGATCGCAGCTGTCGGTAAGCGCGCTTGGAGCGGGGCTGAAGAGGATGGCTAGGACTGCCCCCCCCATGCGGCCCAAACCAAATTTATGTGTGGCCCAAACCAAGTTTTCATCTTCTAATGTGTCCCAGGGAAGGTGAAAGGTTGGACACTCCTGTCCTAAACCATTAATGCTTCTTATAGGTTGTGACCAACACCTTGAATTGAGCATGAAAGTTTATAGGGAGCCAACAAAGGCATGCCAAGACTGGAGACATATGTTCATATCTGCTGGTACCTGCAGTTAGCCTGGCTGCCGTGTTTTGGATCTGCTGAAGTTTCCATACTGACTTCAATGGCAGCCCTATGTAGAAAGCATCACATAATCTATTTTAGAGTTTATCAGCTCATGAATCACTGTTGTTAGGCATTTCTTATCCAGGTAGAGGTGCAGCAGGAGTGAAAACTTTCTCATTGGAGACTTCCCTATTGACTATGACAAGATTATGATTTTTAGTTTGTGTTGAACCTAAAGTGACTTGCAAGCACTCTGATGAGATAAAACAAAATCTCAAAGAGCTACAGAGAGTTTTGTGCTAGGCTCCTTAAATGTTTGAGAATTTTAATGAAAGGGTGAGCGTCCTTCTTTATGGTTCGGGGCACAATTCTTGTGGTTATGATAAAAATGCAGACCATTTTATCCCTAAGTTGCCTACAAAACTTCAGATGACTAAGTAAAGACAATGTTTCAGGGTTTAAAAATATTATTTGAACTTGGTTATAATTTACCAATGGAGCACCACATGGACTGGATCTAGCCTATAGGTGCTTTCTGTTGGTCAGTGATATAGCACAACTGTAGCACTTGTCTGAGGGAAAGCTTTTATCCCCAGTATACTGGGACTCCCTCAGTCCAGTTACAGAAAGACTTGCTTGTCTGTAGCACCAAGATGGGAATCACTACCCTTAGCTATGCAGTCACTGATTGCAGATCAGAGCTGGGTTTTCCCTCTGACAACTCAGTGCTATGAGAAAACAACCTTTTCTGTAGTACTGAGCGAGGAACATGGTATCATAAGTGGGCAGAGCTTTAGAAGGGAAAGATCCAACCTTTAATGTCATGTCATGGCAAGCTATGCCTGCAGATAACTCCTTGCTAGAATTATTTCCAACCCCTGCACAAAATTAAGGAATTGGATATGGGCATGAGCCATTGAAAACATCTATTCAGTTGGAATGCTGGTTCATGGGAATGAGTATATAGTGGTGCCTCGCTAGACATTGATAATCCGTTTCACTGAAATAGCTGTTTAGCGAAATCATCGTCTAGTGAAAAGCATTTCCCCATTGGAATATATTAAAACCTGTTTAATGTATTCCAGTGGGGAAGAATCGTCGTTGTCTAGCGAAGATCGGCCATAGGAAAGCCGCTTTGCGAACCACCGACCAGCTGTTTAAATAGCTGTCTTGCGAAGCTTAGGTCCCGAAAGCACCCGTTTTGCGAGCACGGAGGGAGCTGTCAAAATCGTTGTCTAGCAAAAATTGGTTTGCGAAGCAGGGACCAAACATTGTCCAGCAAAATTCCCCCATAGGAATCACTATAGCGATCGCAAAAAGTCAATGTCTAGCGAAAAAACTGTCATGCGGGATAACTTGTCTAGCGAGGCACCACTGTGTGTTCTTTCTTGTGTGGCTAACAGCACAGTCTTATATGTGTTTAATCGGAAGTGCATCTCAGTGGAGCTCATCCTCAGATCAGTCTGATCCAATCACCTTTTCCAGGCAAAGAAGGTGTTCCAGAAATCCCCTGTCTACATTTCAGAGCTGAGAAGCTCTGGGCAGATTGCTGGACAGCAGCAGAAACAACTGATGTGTCCTTTATTCCTGTGGTGGCTCCCTGTACTGGGCAGCCAGGAAGAAAGTGCTGAAGGCAAAATGGAGGGCAGCTCTTGATTCAGGTCTCTCAGTGGAACACCACGTATCTGATGCAAGCAGTGATGGGAGAGGTTCCTATACCCACCACACAGTTACTGTTGTCATCCCGCAATTTCTTCTGCCTAGTCTCTCACTGTGAGAACTCAGGTGGAGTTTACTCTAAACAGCTTTATTTTTTTATTTTTTTATTTGATTTCTATCCCGCCTATCTAATCAATTAAGATTACTCTAGGCGGCTAGCTTTAGACTGCTCATTTATTATCAGGTCTCAAGGAGAAGTTATGCTGCCCCACAAGTTTGGAGAGTCTAGTTTAATGTGGCCCACTATATATGTACTTGTCAATTTCATACCAGGGTCTTATAAAGAAAAAAAAATATACACATATCCATAACATGTCCAGAATAATTTAGTACACCTCAGCCTTTCTAGTTGTTAATCAGATCAACATAACTGATTGGTCAGTTAGCATTAAACAGATTGATTTTACCCACAAGCACAACTTTTGTAGTTCAGTAGTCCCATCCTTATGGAGTATCCTACTGCAGGATGCTTCCCCCTAGTTGTAATTAGGTCTTAAGTCCTGGTTGATCCAGGGCTGCTTTTAAATATAGGTCTATATTTATGTTTTCTCTTTGTTGCTGTGATCACTTGTAAAGTTTTGTTTTAATTAGCTGCATTTTATAGTTTATTGTTTTAATTTGCTACTCTAAGTGCCTTGAAGAAGTTTCATGTTAAAATGTGGTACACAGTTATTTTAAGTAAATACATAAAGAAAAATGTAGAAGAGTAAGACACAAGACTTATAGACATCAAATATGCTTTGCATTGGGGGGGAAATAGCCAGAAAAGCAAGACATTAGAGCGAGACTATATTACTGTCATATTTATAAATTGCCCCATGATGAGGATTACAGGTGAGGATACAGAAAATGGACAAAGTGTGAAATCCTACATTGGTTCCACAGTTTGCCACTTGTGCCAACAATGGTATTGTTTTCTTGTAGACTCATAGATTGATAACTCCTGTTCTGTTACTAAAGAACCATTGGCATGTTGTCCATTATCTATATCCCCACCTGGTCATGGAACCACATATAAATATGACAGTCATTTAGCCTCACACTAGCATCTGAGGAAAGGGACTAGAAATGCAAAATTTTTCATTAAAATATAGCAGTTGATCTTTAAAGTCCTACAATGTTTTTGTCTCTTTTCGTTCGTTTGTTTCTTTTTACTGATACGGTTGCACAGAGTAATGTGGCTACATCTTCAAAAGCTGTGACCTCAAAAGTTCATTTTGATGTTCTGTGGAAAACCTAGATAGCATGGGGCACTAGCCGGCTTGTAAAGACAAGCAGAAGAACGATTACAGTCATAGTTATGTAGCACCTACCCATTTTCATCAGACTCCTTGGTCAACTAAGTGTCTGCTTAGGCTTCCTGATCTGAAGAAGAGGAAAGGTGCATACTAGGGTACAGAGTTGTGAAAGGAGCACAACACCCATGGCCAGGTAAACTGTAACATACTTATTTTCATGGGGTAGAAAATTCCAGTGCAGATATTTAATCCTATATTTCTTATGATTTCCACTTAAATATATATTTTTAAATAAAAACTAAGGTCGAACTTCTTAACATGTGTTTGATTTTTATTGCACTTCATTGTTTGTTCTGCTAGAATATTAATCTATTTATACTTTTGCATTTGTAGGCTTATGCTTGGCTGAAGGAAGAAATGGGACCAGAATCTGACCCTGTGGTAGTTATAAGATTTTTGGGGGCCACAGAGATGAGTACAGACCTTAGGAATCTGCTGCAGAGTATTTGTGAACAGTTAGCAATTAACTATAGATGTCTCATACAAAATTATCCCAAAAAAATCCACGATCTCCGGGAATTGTTTATAAACCTTTTGAATGAGTCGTCATTTCATAGACCTCTGGTTATGATATTTGATACTCTAGAGCAGCTTTCAGATAATGATGATGCCAGGAAGTTGTGGTGGCTCCCTGTCCATCTGCCCCGTTCAGTGCGAGTTATCTTGTCAACACTGCCGAACAAACATGGAATACTGCAAAAATTGAGGTGCCTTATACATGATGAGGATAACTATATTGAGTTGATTCCTAGGGACAGAAAGATGTGTAGTCAAGCTCTCAAGCATCAGCTGCTCCAAGTTAAGAGAAAAGTTACATCAGGCCAGCAAATCTATGTCAACGAAGCTTTTTCCAAATGCACACTGCCTATGTTTGTAAATTTAACCTTCAGAGAGGTCCGAAACTGGAGATCTCACAAAGATGTTGATGAATCTTCTCTCTGTGTTACTGTTCATGATAGCATAGAGCAGATGTTCTGGTCTCTAGAGGTCAGCTGTGGGCCAAGGCTTTTATCACGAGCCCTTGGTTACATCACCATGTCTAAAGCTGGTCTGAGTGAAATGGAATTGGAAGACATTTTAGCTCTTGACAACACGGTTATGTTTGAATTAAATGAGAGCGTCAGGCAACACAACCCATTAAGAGTACCTTACATCTACATTGCAAGGCTGAAAGAAGGTCTAACTGGATACCTGATAGAAAGACAAGTTAAAAATGTTACCCTATTAGTCTGGGCAAACAGGCACCTGCAACTTATTGCTCAAAAGATGTATCTCCATAATGAAGAAGATGTTCATGAAATGCATACTGTGATGGCAGAGTATTTTCTGGGTGTTTGGTCAGGAGGCAGAAGGAAGTCTCTTTACAGTGAAGATCAGTATCTGAATGGTTGCCTTGACAGTGACAACAGGAGCATGAATGATGAGGAGAAGCATATCATGGACCAAACAAATTTTGACAGGCAGTCCCCTGATCAGCCATGGGTATTTCAGTGTAACCCGTTAGAGCCTGATATTTTTTTTGTCAACCACAGGAAAATGACAGAGCTTTTGCATCACTTGACACAGTGTGGGAAGACAGATGACATGCTGTATGGGGTCATTATGAACTTCAGCTGGCTTTATACCATGATCAAAATTGGGCAGTTTGATAAAGCCCTCTCTGATGTGGAGTTGGCCTATAACTTCTCGCAAGAAAAAGAGCTGAAGTTCCTTGCAAACACTCTTCGTGCCATAAAATACAAAGTGATAAAATATCCAGGCACTCTTTCTGCTGAACTGCAACAGAGGCTCCTACCAGTTGTTAGTTCCTTGCCAAAACTGAGACAACTTCTTCTGGAATGTGACAAAGATGGTCCCAAATATTGCTCAATTGTTCCGCTGCATTCTTCTATGGATGTGACTTACAGCCCTGAGAGATTACCTTTGTCTTCCAGTTGTACTCAAGTAACAGAAATCCTGCCTACCTTTAATCCAAGTACAGTTATTGTAGCTCTAGAAAATGGCTCCATCAGTACCTGGGGTGTAGAGACTCGTCAATTACTAAGGCAAATTACCACAGCTCAGTCAGTTATCTTGGGCATGAAGCTTACAAGTGATGAGAAATACCTCGTGGTGGCCACAACAAAGAACACACTTTTGATTTATGACAACTTAAATTCCTGCCTTCTGTCTGAGGTTGAAATTAAGGGATCAAAGCATAGTGGAATTGGTGTAGGCTCCAGTTTTATAAATGGATTTACACTGTCAGTAAACCATGCACTTTCTTGGCTGGAAGCTAGCAAAGATGTTACTGTGATTGATCTACTTTATGGATGGCCGCTTTATCAGTTCCACTGTTGGTATGAAGTGACTTGTATCCAATGTTCCCCAGATGGGATGTATGCTTTCTGTGGACAGTATTTGAATACGGCATCTGTATTTCACTTAGGTAGTGGAGACAAGCTGGCCACTGTGACTTCTGAATTTTCTGGTGGATTCGTCAAATTTCTTCTCATTCTAGATACAGCTCAAGAAATGGTGATGGTGGACAGTGAAGGTGGCCTTTCCATTTGGAACACTGAGGAAATTGCCAATCCCCAACTGATAGATGACTTTGATTGTAAGAGAGGGGATAGTGAATTTGTCAGTATTGAACTTGCTGAAGACCAAAGTGCAATTTTAATATGTAAGTCACTCAGTGTAGAGCTTCTGGACACTAGCATGTGGAAAGTAACTGAAAAGTTTAGAGCTAAACACAATGAGCGGTTTGTATCAGCTGTATTGTCCAAAAACGGAGACTGTATTGTTGCTTCTATTGAAAATACCTCTGCCATTTTTGTTTGGAGGAGAGACACAGGACAATGTATGGCAAGCTTACAAGAAATCTCAGGAAACATTGTCAAATTGATTAAATCAAATCATCATAACATGCTGCTATCCTTATCTACCAGTGGTGTCCTTTCTATCTGGGATATAGATATTATAACAGCAATGTCCAACATTGACAAAACTGGCAAGCCAATCCAAAGACTGATATTGCCTGCCAAAGGAGAAGTGATATACACACTTGATGGGTCTGAAGTTATACATAAGTGGAACTTTGGTACTGGGTTCATTGAAGCTGTATTTAAGCATGAAAGCCTTGTTGAAAACTGTGTGCTAACTTCCAATGGAAAACTGATGGTTACATCTGATGACAAATGTAGTCAGTATGTATGGCAAACTGGCTCTGGGGAAAACCTCTTCCGCATTAATGGACAGAAGATAAGCCAGCTGTTGATCACACACAATGATCAGTTTGTTGTCTCCCTGTGTGAGCAAAATGCATCAAGAGTTTGGAGATTGGCAACAGGCCATCGAGTTTGCAATATCCTTGTTGCCTTACAGAATGCGTTTATAACCACTGCGAACACTTTTGTCGTTGGAATGACAAAAAATAAAGTGTTGGCAGTAAGTCTATGGACAGGGAGTATCACCAAGAAGTACTGTTGTGATGATGGTATAACTATTGTTGATATTAAACTTATCCCGGATTGCCCTGATATAGTAGTCTTTATAACATCTACTGAGACAGTGAACATCTGGAGTCTTACTGAAGAGGTCATTTGCAGACGTGTGCAATTACCCAACACTTTCTTAAAGACTTTAGAGGATTTCGAAATATCACCCAATGGAAAACTGGGGATTATATCCCGTGGTGATGAGAATATCAACATACTTGACCTTCACAGTGGCAAACTTCGTGTTGTCCATGCTTCTGGAATTATCTGGCGACAGAAATTGTCTCCGGATGGTCGTTACCTTGTATACATTTGTTTTCGCACTGGTGAAGAAGATGATGATAATGGCGCAATTTCCATTTTAATTGTAATGAGATTGGCAGATGGCAAAAACATTGGTGCTTGCTCTCTTTATAAAACCCCAACTTTTCTTGCTCTTTCCCAGAGGCATTTGAACATTATTGTGGGTTTTGATGATGGAAGCATAGGCACTTACACTGTAGTGGATCGAGTGGATGCAGCGCTGAAAATTAAAATTGCTACTTCAAATAGCCGACAGATTTTCAGCAATGCATCACAAGTGATTAAACCCAAGTGTCACCATTATAATTTCAAGGTGACAGCAGACTGCATATGGAGAGAGTCTACAGAAGTGTTTGCAAGAGACAGTCCCATCACAGTGACAGACCCAGAAGTAAGTGAAGCAGCCCCAACAAAAAAACACAACTTTTGCTATGACAAAGTTTGTTCTGCCATTGATTGCAGAGGGCATGGTTTCACTGCTGACAATTGATACAAATTAATGGAAACATTGTTTGCCCTTTCTCATAACAAAATTCTGTTTAACATGTTTATATTTTGGTATAATAAATTTTAAAAAGAAAATTCAAGGTGAGTTTAATGAGTAGGCTTATAGGTTTAAACAAATACTCAAATGTGAGTCTTGATCCAAATCTTGACTGAAAATTCCTAGCAATACCATCATGCTTATTTTGCCATTATCAACGATTTTGAAGTATACTTTTAAACAAAGCTAAAGGTACATTTCATATTGGAATAAGGCAAATCAGCCTTTTTTTAAAAAAATACAGGTAGCTCTAAGCCTAAATCCCCAGCTACCTTGAACTGCTCACATGCAAAAATTAATTTTATCCTTTCTGATGGTGCAAACGACAAGTTGTCACATGTCAACCTGGAAGACTTGATGCATTCTGTAAGCATTTGAAGTAGTAGCTACTGGTGTGATTATTTTTTAAAAAAGAGATGCACAATTTAATCAGTGTTTAACACTTCTAAGTCCTGTTGACTTCAGTGGAAATGGATGTTTGAGTTTAATCTCCACCACTACCATCAGTGGATGTAACATTACTTTGTTTTGCTTGGATTGTGTTCATTGTTTGGCTGGAAATAGGATAGAAGTTGATCTCTAAAAATAGCCACTTGTGAAGTAGTAAATCAAAAACAGTGCAAGTCCTGTAACTTATAGGTATCAATTTCCATTACAGTTTTTCAGCCACAGAGGTACAAATGATAGGAACTGCGTATTATTTAGAACATGTAAGACAGGAATTTAACACCTGAAAGTTGTGCTGTTTTCTGTCTTTCACAGTGTATTTTTGTACTGTGTAGAAGAAATAACATTTTAAAAGAAAAAGGGCATTAGGGATAAAAGTCAACCTCCCATTCCTTTATTTCTTTTGTGTGTGTTTTTAAAGAGGATATCTTTCATTCTGTTGTAAAGGAAGTCTAAAATATTCCAGGCCTCAGAGTAATTTGAAGAGGAAGCACTGAGACATGCTGTGTATTGCTCTCAATACTTGTAGTTTTGCCTTACTGTCATTCCTGTTATTTCCTCTGTGAATCACAGATCAGATGACCAAATACTCTGGGACTAACATTAGCTTGTGTATGTGCTGAAAAATCCTGGCTGCCCAAAGGGTTCTCTACTGTTTCACTTTGTAAAGAATTTCTTCTTTCTATCTACAGCATTTATGCCTCTTCACTTCCTGCTTTAGGACTGTTCATGGCCTTTTTATAGAGTTTTATCAATTTCAAGGCTGAAGTTAGGAAATACTGTCCATTGGTTTCTCATTGCTTGGCTCACCTTGTTGAACCTAGTAATGATTTGTAGACAATATGACTTCCCGATCCACAGCTCTGCTCAGATAAGGTATTGGGGGTTAAAGGAGGATATTCTTTTACTTCTCCTGAGAGGCAGAAAAATTCAGGCACCTTTTGTCAAGTGTAAGTGGCTTATGTGTGTCTTCATGGTGTGCTGTCTTTTAAAATATGTGAGTGAAGGCTTGATGAGGCCTACTCACTGCTCATGTGTATTTAAAAACAGAGAGATGAGAACATCATGTATGCAACATTCCTGTCAGGTGGTATATTTACACTAGAGTATAGCTACATATTTTCTTAAATATGGTGAAAACTGGCCCTGAGGTACTGATTTGGACCCACACGTATCGCTTGTTGACTGTAATTTCAAATTCATTACCACAGACAAAAGTGTTACTTTTTCAACTCTTCATATGTCAATTCAAAGAATATTTTTGATGAAGGCATTTCACAGTGAGTCACTGAGTGCTGAATTATAATAAGGTCCAAGCAACATACATGTATGTGTGTGTGTGAAACAAAACCAAGATTTTATTTTCAGTAGTTATATGATGGGGTCACAGCAACAACTCATTATCACAAACCACATTATTGAATTAGCATTACATTGGGGCATTATGTCAGTGTTACAGGCTGAGATCCAGTGTAATGTGGAGTGAAAAGCCGTATAGGAAGAATTACACAATTGCCAGAACAGGCAGTCCTGCCATCTGGCTAGGAATTTCTGGCACCTTCCCCCATGGACCAGTCAGTGCTGTCTTGACTTGTAGCAGGGAAGACGTGTGCTTAGGCATTTTGCCAACATACAAGTCAGCCAATATCACTAGCCAGGCAAATGGGGCTTGCACATAGAGGTGTTGGATGACAGGCTTAGACTTACAAGTGTTTGTACATCCAGGAGTTGAGCAAGCTGACATGCCACCATTGGACCTAGAGCCTAGTCTTTTGAGATCAAAGTGCCAGTTGACCTGTACAGGGGTATTTTAATTTAACTGAGCTGCGGAGTGCCTTTGCTTACTGCTTGTTTCAAATATGGCATGTCCTTGGCAAACGACTCAAAGGATATGAACGCTGCTAAATTTCCTTTAATTGTTACTGAAGGAAAATTGAACTCTTGGGCTTAAATCACACATGAAAGTGGCAAGATCTGGCCATTAAACTGAGGATTCAGTGGCAAAAGGGATTCATGGTCAGAAATCTAAAATGCTGTATCTCCATGGTTTGGTTTGGTTTGGTTTGGTTCAGTTTGGTTTGGTTTCTCAGTTTCCCTTTTCCCTTCAGCTGGGTTCTAATGCCAGGTAGGGTAAAATCACCTTTGCAAGAGAAGAAAATTGGTGGGTGCAGGGAAGGTTCAGCATCCTCAGTCACCACACCCCCTTTTGTTTGAAAAATTGGACATTACATGAGCTATACTGTATGCATGAGCAGGGCAGTCTTGGGTTTAATAAACAGAACTGCTACTATTTCTTGTATTTTGAGCCACAGTGACCAATTTTCCAATAAAATAAGCACCCAAGCTAGGGAATAACTAAAGTGTGAATATTCTATGTGAAAGCCAATCTAGTATCTATGGAGTGACTTGAATGACTTTTCCTAACTTGTTTGCAACCAATAGATCATATTGAATGTTTTTATGTAAACTTTCTATTGTTGGGGAAGAAATACCCAATCAGAGATTTATATTTTCATAAATGTGAAATTTAGTTAAATTTTGTTACAGAGTTGTTAAATTAGAAATCTATTGCTGTTTTCAAACAATATGCAGTCTTGTGTATGCATTGTTTGTATGAATAAATATAAACTACTATATGAAACAATGTATATGTTCTAATTTTTTTAAATTGGAAAACTGTATTTCCAATGGAGAGGATACATATCTAAACAAATAGCATAGAGCAGCTTAGGCCTGTTTCAAAGTTACCTGCTGGTGTTCCACATCATTACTCTGCAGTGGTAATGACTAATAATAATCAGTTTTTATAAAGGCAGCTTCCAAGGTTTTGTAACATTTTGACATTGTGCTACAGATTAAACTTAGTTCTGGGAAATCACCATGACCCAAACTGGATTCTGTAAGACAAAGTTGAGACTACAGTTGGTACATTGATTGAGGGAGGAGCAACTTTAGATCCCCTAAGAAACAGAAAATGCTAGATTTGGCTATAGGCTAAGGACTTAACTCAACTGACTGTGTTACTGTTACTATTCCTAGACATCCAGCTTTGCTTCCTCCAAAATATGAGTGACTCACGTGAGGGAGGAAGGTTAAATTTGTCCATTGAAGCATTGCTGTGGGGGCTTAACCTGCATGCTCTAGGTGGCACTACATGACATGCCCTCCTTTGAGAAGGACCCTATTCTGGATGCAGTACTCTACCCTGTAGCTGGCAGAAGGTGAAGCCAATTATCTTGAATGAGAATGGGCCAGATGTTTCTGAAGAGTAGTCTGGGAACCAGAAATGGATTCCCATAGACTTACTGCCAGGCTACTAACAATGCCTTTTAGAAGGATCAAAGATTTGTGAGGAAGAAATCTCCAGGTCATGGCTAACCCAATATAGTATCTTGCTGTCTGAAGTGAAGCAGCAAATGGAATTTCTTGCCTCTGAATCAAGATACACATGACACAAATTCTGACATATGGAGCTGAAAATGCCAGAAACACATATTACACTCTATGGCAAAAAAAATAAAAATACATAAAGTAACTACTAGTATGTTTCAATTTGAGAACATCCAGAATTTTATAATTTAGCTGACTCAATGGATCAGCTCTGTTTTAAGTGAAGAGGTGCAATGAATAGCAGATAAAATTATATTGGCTGCCCTCAGTTTGAAACATATCTGAGAGCAATGGTCAGAATCACATTCTTCTGTTTGAGCACACACATTTGCTTTGAGTACTATTGTCATCTTGCATTTTATCCATAGTGAAAATCAAAGTATGATTATTGCCACTAGATGGTGCAGTTGTCTTCTACTCTTTTTTCCTCCCTAGACACTTGCCACAGTATTTTTCAGTTATTTCGTAAAAGAAAAGATAGTATACGACCGGGGATATCTATATATATAGACAGAGCCCACCTCTGCCAGTCCTTATGCATTTGCTTAAACCCACTTTTTGAAAAAACACTGCAAGTTTCATATAGATACATCCCTGGTCGTATACTATCTTTTCTTTTACGAAATAACTGAAAAATACTGTGGCAAGTATCTAGGGAGGAAAAAAGAGTAGAAGACAACTATATATAGTTTGTAATGAAGAACCAGATCTTTCTGTTGAGAGGATCTCTGTCACAATCAAAAAATATAACTGAACATAACAACAAATTTATAGCAGATTTTTATCTTCTGCAATTTGGCATTATTGCCATTTTCTTCATTTATCAAGGATGCAATAAAGCAGGGCTCTCAAACATGCGACCCAGGGGACATTTGCGGCCCCCGCCTTGCCTGCCCCCCGAAGCATCCACCCATCCTCTGCTGTCAAGAGTAAAGAAAAAAGCCTTGCCTCACTTGCCAGCTCTCCCCCAAGACAGCACCTCTTGCACCCTCCATCCGGAACTGCAGCCTGCCATCAGGGAGACAGGCAGGCTGGCTGGCAGGCTGCAGTTCCGGATGGAGGGTGCAAGAGGTGCTGTCTTGGGGGAGAGCTGGCAAGTGAGGCAAGGCTTTTTTCTTTACTCTTGACAGCAGAGGATGTGTGGGCTCTTTGGGGGGGGGCAGGCAAGGCGAGGGCTGAAAATTGCCTCCAACAGCAGCTGCCGCCACCACCTCTCACCCTCCCTCCTCCTCCTCGGAGCCCCAGCCAGGCTAAGGAAACTCCTGGGCGGCTTCCTCGGGCTCTTGTTCTGCTTGATGGAAAATCTGATGCGGCCCAGACTCTGCCTCCACCGGCCCGCAGGTAAATTGAGTTTGAGACCTCTGTTCTAAAGCAATAGTCCCCAGCCTTAGGTCTCCAAATGTTCTTGGTCTACAACTTTCAGAAATTGTAACCAGCACAGGTGAAGGCTTCTGGGAGTTTTCATTCAAGAATATCTGGGGATCCAAGGTTGGGAACAACTGTGTCCAAGGATTCTTGAGGACCAGTGTAGTCTAGTTGATAAGAGTGACAGGCTAGGATTTAGGAGATCTGAGTTGGAATCCTTGGTCAGCTATGGAAACTCCCTGTAGGATGGCACTGCTAAAGCCACCACTTAAGTATCTCACATATACCAGAAACTTTACTAGGGTCACCATCAGTTGAAATTGACAGCACATCACATGCAAAACATGCTTAAGCTAGCCTAGCCTGTTTTGCTGTGAACGGGAGAAAAGTGCATATTTCAATCCAGAATGTTCTTCCGATATAGATTGAGAGTTTATGCTGCAAAATCACCCCGCCCTACTAATCCACCTGTAATTTGATACTGAATAGATTTGCATTAAACTGCACTTTTGGGTAAACAGTGGCTGGGAGTGGTATCTTCTGCAGGAAAGAGATACAGGTTGTAATCCATACCAAGAGCAAATTCCAAAGTGGTGGCTGTGCAGCTGCTTTTCTGGCTGAGTCACACCTTGGGATGAATAACATGTTATCCTGGCTTCAAAAACTGTGTGATACCTGAGCAACTTCTCACAAGCTGAGGAACCATTAGCTTTGTGTATGGAGCCACATATGTGCAGCTGACTCCCTGCTCCCTACAGTAGACTTCCCACATATTACACAGAAGATCTCAAATAAATCTTTGGCATTTGCCAAACTGGATTGGCTATCCTGCAAAAGACAAGGGGAAACTCCATCATCATGACCAATTCAGGCAGGGCACAGAGGGCAAGACCTCTGCTCACATAATGTCCCTCCACTAGATTTAAGGTAGGTCCTCTTCCTGTCCTTTCTCACTCTAGCCTTTGCCATCAGCAGATGCCATCTCAACTCTCTGAGCAGCATCCTGGGAATGCTGCAAAGCCCATCTCTGCCAGTCCTGATGCATTTGCTTAAACCCACTTTTTGAAAAAACACTACAAGTTTCATATAGAGATACAGAAGAACTTGGAAAATTTACAAGTCCCATGTGAATTATGTCAGTGTCTGATCAGATGGAGGAAGGCAAAGTATTTGTCTTGCAAATTAGCATTCTGGTAAATTTAACTTCTACGTGTGTGTTATAACTGCTTAAACAAGAGCAGCCTTAAGCCTTGACATACAACCATGAAAAGGGGGAATGGTCAATTTGAAGATTTCTCTCCCATCCCCATTCTAATTTTTCTTTCTCCATTGTTTTGTTTTGTTTTTCTCCAGGCAATACATTTCGAAGGGTCCTCCACATTATGGACTCACATTATAACTAACACTACCCTTGTGATTTTCATACAAGCAACATTTTGCATAAGTGAAAAAACTTTGCATGCCCAAAGAACTGTTGGCGCTGCCCTCACTCCACGAAAAACAATGTGGCCGGCCAGCCAGCCAGCCAGTGTTGAGGTGGCTGGGAAGCAACACCGTTCTCACCTGAGGGGCAGCTCCGGAAGCTCTGGTTCTGCTGCATGATGAGCCTCCGCTCCAACACTGTCAGTATCTGGGAAGCATCCCAGCCCTGGCCAGCCAGGATGGGAGCCCAAGTGCAGTTTCAAAACAGTACCAATGCACCATCTGTAAAAGCATGCCAGAGCTTGCATCATGTGATATGCCCAAAGTCGCTGTGAAGGAACTTTCGTTCCTTCTGTAACTCTAGTCACAGTCCAGGGTGTCTGAATCATCCCACCCCCACCTCCACTTGTTCAAACGGCTTTTCATGACTATGTGTGTCCATCTGAAAAGAAGCCTGTAGCTGACATCCACGGGCCTTGTTTTGCAGAACGAACACTCATAGACTTAGGCTGCAAAAGGCCATCCTTCTCGTTAAGGTTGCCAACTCTGGTCTCCCTCCTGTAGGTAAGTTTTTCACCACAGTTTGAGATGCAGTGATTGACAGGTAACCAATTTTTTTTTTATCCAGGAGATAAGGAGCACCTTGAGTCAGGATTTAATGTCAGCGCCACATTCACCAAAGTATAGCTTCCTATTTGTATGGCTTGGTAATGTTGTCTCATAATAAAAGCCCGTTTCCCTCATTCTTATCTAGACTAAATGGTATTACAGTATACTGGAAAACAGAAAGATCTTGGTACCCAATTGTTCACAGTTTGTTTTTGTAGATAGTACTTCTGTCCAACTTTGGAGAGGGGAGGGGAAGAGAGACACACCTCAGATTAACTCAGTGCGGTAAACAGAATCACCAACCTCGTCAGCTTCAAGTTTGCACCTGAGACAAGTGTCCCTGTCATACAGTACACAGATGCCTGAGGCTAGCCCTGTAGTTGTTTCCATAGTGGGGGGGAAAGTTCAACAGGAAGGTTTCCTGCACAGTAAGATGATTTCAAAGGTCCACAGGAGCAGTTCTAGGCCAGTCATTTCTTGTCACCTGCTCCTCGCTACTATTGGGAATGCCGCACAACCAATCCAGCTTCGATACAGGAAGAATCTGTTCTCTGCATATGAAAAAATACTTGCTTGCCTGCCTGCCTGCCTGCCTATGTGTCTCTACCTTATTATATGCCATCATGTCAGAACTGACTTATAAGGATCCTGTCAGGGCTTTCAAGGTGAGATATTTAAGGTGTGGCTTTAGGAATTTCATGCCCCTCCCCCAGTGGGCTTCCAGGAAGGAGCAGGGATTTGAACCCAGGCCTCCTGAGTCCTGGTCCATCAGTCCTTCCAGGCCTTCTGCC